AATAATGGGTTTTTTTTCTGTTTCAAAGTGAAGCAGACAACATTGGCCTCGATTTCCCGGTTTATACAAAAATGTTTTACATACACTGTTCTACAAGTGGAATACAAACAAACTTTTTATCAATTTGTTGTTTGAAATCCCCGCTGCTATTTTGTATCAAGTAAAAATCATGTTGTAGAAGTAGGTCAGAGAAGTGCTACAACGACATGGACATGTATTTTGAGTGTTATATTCCGTATGTACTATTTATTTGTGTCTGTGGCATGACCATGAGTAGACATCGTTGTCATGAACTGTGAACCACTTAAGTGAGTTTTTCAAGCTGTTTTTGTTCTGCCCGAATTTCGGATGGAATCTGCATCAAAGAATAAGTGCTTCGGAAATAAGAGGTCGCAGTCGGCAAAATCATATCCGATAGAAAAAAGGCCGACCAGCGGCCTCTTATGTTACAGTAGTAGAGGTAGAACGTGCTTTTACATGTGAGATGTAAATATAATCTAAAGAGTAAACACTTGAATGAGCAAGCATATCCTAAAATGATTGTTGATCAAACTTTGTTCTAAAGAATAATGTCACCGCATATGATTTGGAGTACAGATAATTGTAATTGAATCACGCCTTACTGTATTCCAACAATAGTTTTCTATGAAATATACTGAGTATACATGAAACTGATTCCTGCATTTAGCTTGAAATATGCTAATAAACTATCCTGCTAATTAATTTGTATAGGGATTGAATCTGGATTTTTCCAGTGTACATGCAAATATGAACGGGGAAAATTTTACTTACACACCACATGAGCAGCCCTAGCGAAGCGAAGGCCGTTCATGTGAAGTGTGTAAGTGAATTTAAGAAATGAATAAAAATATAATTTTGTAACAGCAAACCATTGTTTCAGTCCTCCAAAATCTACGCCTCCAAAGGTGATACCAGTGACGCAGAGCAATTTTACAACTTCTAAGCCTAGAATCAATGTCACTACCGAAAGTAGTGCCTCGACTGTAGATAATACTTCGACCCCTGTAAGTGTCACACCATTTCTACCTCGCACCACCAAGGCCTCTGACAGCCAGCCGTAAGTATAAAACCTTTCTTTCTCACAACCACAACTAATGGTTTCTTGGCAATAATATAATTATGTAGCATCCGATTCCAATTACAATCACTTATATATATATGTAGCTAAACTGACTGGGTTGATTGCCGGGCACAACAGCCACCATGTCGACAATTTGTTAGAGCGTCGGTTTAGAGTTTTGAGGGTCCCTGGTTCGAACCCCGGTCTGGCCATGCATTTTTCTGCTCCTATTACATATGCATTGTGCGAACTTCTCTCAAGTTGTGCCCCATAACAACCAATGAAGAAAACACACACCAATGACAAGTTTATTGCCATGGTCCCTGTCAGCCAAAATATACAACATCCAATCGCCATGACAACTACATTGTATACATATCTCCAGTGGGACCCCATGACATCCAGTATAGTATTATGCACCCAGTCGTGTGCTACTCATAAGTAAATTCATATAGAATGTGAACTAATATATAGAATATAGATGCTTTATAATTTTATTTCGACAGAAGTTTTGACAGTAATCCTTGCCGGCTTTAATATAGACTATAATGGCTGACATATATTATAGATCTGCATCCTGTGGCATAATGTTTGGATTAATCTTCACAGAACTGTTTAACCCCTCCACCCCTAGAGATTAATTATGGACTTGTCCAGATCAACGGATTGACGGACTATAAATATCAATTAGGAGTGAACGGGTTAATATGACTTCAGTCATGACAATATATGTATGTGTGTGAATGTGTGTGTGGTTATGAGAGTGTTAATGAACACATATGTCACATTAGTTGAGAAAAAGTATGAAAGTGTGTCAGTTGAGTTACGCCCTTAATGTTTACGAGTCATGATTGTTATTCTTTGACATTATTTCTAGGAAGCAAAGCGATGATAAAGCAGTAGCAGCAGCATTAGTAGCAGTAGCTGTAGTCATCCTTATTGTCATATGGTGCAAATGGAAAAAAAGAGGAAACAATAGATCAGGTCTGAATAACTTTGATGTACATCACTTGTGTATTTATAGCCCACCATCATCAGACTGAGAACTGTTAAAATTGCCCTTTGTCCATGGTCTATCCTTAAGTTCTCCCAATTTTGGATTTCATATAATCAAGGGTTTTTTACGCACCAGGCCTCTTTGTTTTAACAGTAGTTTTAGACTATTTGGATTACTTGCCCCTAGCATCGCTGCTGAGTCCTAATAATTCATTTTTGGAAAACTGTATATATTACCAATTTTTGAAGGTACTATCATCTGTGTATTTGTTATGTTCGTCTTTGGAACTTACTTAAGAAAATGATACATAAGTACAGACACAAAAGATAGAAAGTTGTTTTTTCCAGTGTTTATTATAATTGAACAAATGATCTAAACCTAGGCAGAAAAGCTCAAATGGGTAAAAATCTTTTAAGAACTTCCATGTTTCATGGGGTCTAGAAAAGTGATATTTTCCCGTTAACTTGCTGGTGTGAACAGCTATCATTTTTATCTTCTTCATTGACCTAAATCAAACATCTTTGGTTGCAAGGGTGAAATATGCAAAAACTGAAGGCTAATGAATGAATTTAGCCTGTTGCTTAGAAGGATAACACATTTGTTTGTTCAGATAAATGACCTTGACAAAATTAATAAGTCCCTTGATTAAAAAAAATACAAATCTTCCACCAAAATTCTGTCAGTTGAATGATTTTTACTTATTTTCTACCAAAATTAGTTTCAATCAATTTGACTTTGATCAATTTTGAAGGAAACAGAGATAGAGTTGATGCAGGTGAAGAGAGTGGAGATGCTGCTGGGGAACCACTAATGCTAGGTAAGTGACAGTAAATCTATAAAAATATACAGCACAACATAGGTTATAAATGGGGTTGTTAAACATCCCATTAAGTGAGGAATCTGTGCAGGCTCAGGGAAAGAATATCCCGCTGCATGATCGTGTCCTATAATTATACCAGGCGCTTATTACAAGCTCTTGGATAACTCATATATAGATTTCTTTGCAAACAGGATAACATACAGCCTGAAGGCGTTTCAAATTTCACACGGGAATAGCATATAACCTAAAGATGCTGCGAGTATGAATCAGGCACCTTTGAGGTTCCCGAAGGGGTAGACTGTTATATTATAGATTGCTGTTGATTGATTTAGATATTTTATGTCTGACCATGTAGTACCGTAAATATTCGCGTATAGTGTGTACTTTTTTAAGGAAAAATGAAATTGTCAATAAAGGAGTGCACGGATACTCAAGAACAATCCAAAACCAGTCCTTGGTCACGACCATTTGATTCGTGAATTTTTCGGGGATTTTCGGAAATGTTTTGAAATATGCTCGCAGCAATAAACTGTTAAATTTCGTTGAATAGTTCCTGATTGCATTGTCTATTTAACCTTTATGAAAGAATGCAAGTTTAAGTCATATTATAGGCCTACGATAGAATCGGATAAATAAACTTGAGTAAAGTAGGCCCAAATTTCAGGATACGATACCATATGTATGGGGAAACATAACGAAGACTTACACTGTAATAAGCACTCCGGGATTAAAATGCCGTTCATAGGTAAAATCATGCTGAACTATTTAATCTTGACAGTAGGAAGGTGTCAAAACGACATAGAGAAATTGCAAAGAGTCAAGGTCGCTTGATACTATTTACCGGCAGGAACTCACAATGTCACATACATTCGAATTGAACCGATAATACTAAAAGTTGGAGTTTGAAAAATAAATTTTAACAGGCTCAAAACAGCCAAATACATTCCGATCTGTTCTTTTCAAAGAATAATTCCTGAAATGACATTTTTTTTGTGTTTTTCATGTCTTGTGCATTTGGCTGTTGGCGGTCCTCGTCGGACCAGTTTGAGTGACTGCCTTTAACAAAGCGTACAATCAGAAAACTATTTTGAATCGTGTATTTCATAAAAAAGTGAAAGATTTATCCATATACAAGATTGAATCTTTTCTGAAAGTTATTGTTGTGAAAAACAACATCGTTTTTTCCAAATTACCTATTCTGCCCATGCCAGGTGACATTGAACAGATATTTGCCACAATTCCATGTGTTAGCATGATTACCTTAACAGTGTGTCATTGTTAGACCATTTTGATTGACAGGTGGAAATATGTCAGTTGTAGCTTGGTCAGTGATTTATTATACTGAAAATGATCATATTCAAATGTAGGAGATGGGGTGACTTTCCTGTCTGATATCTTTATACCCCCCACAATGGAGCTAAGGGGGGGGGGG